CATTCCAAATATCCTTAATTTGATTAATTACTATGATACATTTGCAGGATATAAAATTAATTGGGACAAGAGTGTGTTGATGCCAGTTACTATCAAAGATTCTTCTTGGCTTCAGCATTTGCCCTTAAAGATTGCTTCAGAACAATTCACATACCTAGGAATTGAGGTGACAAAATTTTTTTCCAACTTAGTGAAGGCCAATTTTCAACCCCTGTTGTCTAAACTTAAATCCATGTTCAATTTCTGGAGAACACTTCCTATTTCTCTTGTGGGTAGGGTAAACACAATTAAAAAAAGATGACATTTCTTCCGCAATTTTTGTATATAGTGCAGAACATTCCTGTATTTCTGCCCAAATCTTTTTTCAAAAAACTGGATTCTATTCTGGTTCCATTCGTCTGGAATTATAAAGCCCATAGGATTTCTAAACAACACCTGTGTAAACCCAAAATACAGGGAGGGCTCGCCCTACCTAATTTTCTTTATTATTATTGGGCTGCAAACCTGAGGGCCTTGACGTCATGGATAGATTTTACTCCGGTGGGGGAGAATTGGTTGGTGTTGGAACAGGAGGAATGTCTCCCATATTCTATTAATGCAATACTTTTATCACCCAAAGGTATAGCTAGTTCACTTTATAATCATAACCCTGTTATTCATAATTCTGTTCGTATTTGGAAACAGTTAAAGACACATTTCAAATTCACCCAAATGTCGTTTTTGCTCTCTATCTCAGCTAACCCCTCTTTTTGCCCTTCAATGTTAGATAGTGCATTTGAGTTTTGGAAAAATTTAGGGTTACGAAATGTAGGGGATTTATATATAAATGGAAATGTATATATTCCTTTCAGCAGCTGTGTGAGAAATACAGTATTCCTTCTAATCACTTCTTTAGGTACCTTCAAATAAGAGACTTTGTGAAGTCTAACATTGCTAATTTTGTCACAGCTTCACCCATGTATCTGGACACATTTCTGGAAAGATGTCTTAGAGATGGTAGTACCATCTTCTTGCTCCATCTATGGAGAATATTAAATCTGCCTGGGAAGAAGAACTTGCAGTAGAAATTCCTAGTGAAATTTGGGAACAAAGTCTTGAGCTGGTCCACAGATGTTCCATTAATTCAAGACATTGTCTCATTCAGTTTAAAGTGCTTCATAGGCTTCATTATTCCAAGTGTAAATTGAATAAAATATTTCTAGAAGTGTCTCCACTGTGTGACAAATGTCAGTTTTTAGATTCCAGCCTGTCTCATTGCTATGTCTTGTGTCCCAAATTACAGAGTTTCTGGAATAAAATATTCCAAGTCTTTTCAGATACATTGGACATTCCTATTGAACCAGATCCTATATTAATTATATTTGGAGTTTCCGAATAATTTTTTAGACTTACACGGGTACAACAACAGTTTGTTTCATATGGGTTGATCTCTGCCAAAAAACTTCTTCCTTTTGTTTTGGAAGAAAAAAGAAGTTCCAACTCTTAAATTATGGCTGACAGAGTTGACAGGTACGCTACATCTGGAAAGAATCAGGTATACCCTAATAGACAAGATTTTGTTATTTGAAAAAATTTGGTCCCCTTTTATTGCCTTTCTACAAACTTGTGATTAATAGGTTTATTATGCCTTCAGTACCTACTTTTACCACTGGATAGCACTTATGTTTTTGGGTGGGGGGAAATGTATTTTTAAAAAAATCTTTTTTTTTTTTGTTCATTTATTATTTTCATGACTATTGTTTGTTTTTCATTTTCTTTTTTAATTTTATTTGTTAAAATGTAAGTTTTATATGTTTGTATTTTAAAAAAAAGTGTAATTACAAGTGACTGTCTGCTAAAATTTCTAACAATAAAAATATTTCAACCAAAAATCCAATTGACCCAACTGCCAGTCACAAATTTCTGAAAATCACAAGTCTACTTTGTGGTAAAACAGAGGAACTTTAAGGGAAAATAGATAATTAAATAAATTTCAAATTGCCCTTCATTTTTTCTCTTGGCCCCCAAACAAAAGTATAGTAGTCAACCTCAACAGAACATAAGGGTTTTTCTGCTACTGTAACTTTGAGGTAAATGCCTTCTTGGTACATTTTCATGTTACATTCAACACTATTACAGTACTTCAAAACATCAAGTAAAATTCAAATCACCAAACTGAACTTATCTTACATTCAGTTATCTTCATATGCCGTCCTGCACAACTTTTGGGTGCCCCCACCCCATTGGAGGCCTCACATCGATACTGACCATCATCAGATTTTGACACTGCCTTGAACTTCTGCTCAAAAATAAACAAAAAAAAAAGCACTCTATATCAATCATACTTGCATATCATGAATGCATCAAAGCCAAACATATACAGTATAAGCATATAAGGGGAAAAGGCTAACAGTTTCAGCCAGTGTTAGCTAAGTTTGTCAGTATGAAAAAAAAAGAGATTATAGCACTCCACCAACCAGAGTCCCTGTTTTGGAGTCCAGGGTGTAGGTGATTTCAGGGAGATTGGCAGTGTGAAGTGGTTTGTTGTCTTTGTACCAGCTGTAGGTGGCAGCAGGAACACTCAGTTTGTCTTTACAGCGGAGCTCCGCAGAAAATCCTCTCATGACTGTTTCTGGAACCTCACAAGACGGCGCATGTGGCGGCACTGTCCATGTAAGACAGAGTTGCATTACATGATCATATTGCTCACTGATAGAAAGGTCGTGTTTACGACTAAGAGTTAGGCATATTGTTGGTGCAACTGCACATGTAAATAATGAAAATGAAATTACAAGATTGAATAATTAAGAAGATTTTCATTCCCACCAAGCACATTGAGGGTGACAGTGACCTCCCCCAGCTTGATTTTGTCCTGACGGGCTGTGACTTCACAATGATACACTCCTGAGTCTTTCTGTGTCACACCACGAAGGGTCAGTGTTGCCCCATCGATGGATGCACGGCCCTTAAATGAACCTGGTAATGATGAGAGTAAGTCAGAACATTTTATAGAAAAATAAATGTAATGAAAGTACAAAACTAATATTCACTGAAAGACAATCAAATTTACTGGGCGAATCAGTTATTTCAAATAGAAATCCATGCAATCTGTAATTTCTTGTGGGGGCAAAAGATTTCCTGGTGCAGCTTGGTTTTAAAGTGACTTCTGTGTGAGCTGTGCCTTATACATTGTTACACTGTATTGACAATGGACCTTTTCTGACCTCAAGTATAGCCAAAATTGTACTAATGTGTAATTTGCTCCCAAAAGTCATGTAAATGACTCACTTCCTCTTTTAAAATGACAAAATATCTAAAGCAATATACAAATGTTAAGATGAGGGACATGTTTAGGGACTGGGTTGCAGTAAATATGGAAATGGGCAAAACAACAACCTACCTGTAAAATCCCCATCAAAATAAACATACGAAACATCTTTGCCTCTCTTCTTCCATTCAACACGCGGGTTTGTTTCTTTCTCTGTCCTGAACTCACAGGAGAGAACAGCATCTTTTGCAAAGAACAGACAGAAGTATCAAAATCAATACGGTCTGAAAGCTTTTATATAACTAAACATGTCAAGCTGTTTATCTGAAGACTAATGAACTTACTTGTGTTTTCATGTACCTCCACTTTGGCTTTGCTTGTCGTCACAGTAACAGGATCTGAGCTGGGAGCTGGAGGAGAGGGAAGATACAAATTAACACTTGAAAGTTGTAACACACTACAAAAATTCCCTCCCACAGCATATTTATAATAGCAAACTATGGGGCAATCGACATGTTTGCCCTAGAGTTTCTGATAAGGACAAACTGAAATTCTCACACATAGTTGATATAAGCTTAACTTAACCCAGAATGTTTGTTTAAATGAGACTGACTCTTGCATTGTGTAATATTTAGGTAAATAGGAAGAATACAGAAAACAGATTTGAGTTTCTCCTCAAATGTGAAACCTCACTAACATTCACCCCCACTCTGGTGGTGCCAGGAACAGGGATGTGTAGGAATTTAAGTAATGGATGGATGTTCTCACACAGTCTGGCTGTGTTTAGTGGGGGATGGCAGTCCAAACCAAGCCTGATAACCTCCTCACTCACTGAAAAACATGCCCTTCTGGGGACAGTGAGGGAAAACACTTTCCTTTACCTGTATAAGTCCTTCTCTATAGTCCGCTGGATGTGTTGACAGTAGAAAACCAATGACTTCATATGAGAATAGAGAGAGAAAGGCTGCAGCAGGTCTTTTTACCCAGAGATACAAAGACCTACTATGCTGCGGTAACTTAAAACCTCTTTAGCTGGAAGAGGACTGGAGTTAAAATCACAGCCCACACCACAAGGTATTTAACTCACACCTCTTTCTACAGGCCTATTTACATTTTATGACAATTGTGGATAACATCACATTGTCGTATGCACTGTAAAAAAAATATTTTGCCTATAACTAAAAAAAAATGATTAGTGTGGAAACCAAATGTATTGTTTTTATTCAAATAAAAGGTAAATTTATATAATTTAAACTACAGAATGCTTGAATCTGATTGGTTGACGAACGTGATAGGAGGAAGGGATATTTGTGGATGGCTCTGAAATATTTCCCATTTGAATTCCCTTTTCTGACTGTTTGTTTACCTGCTCCACTTGAGAGTAGAACTCAACGAACTCACGTGCATGTCTACGCTAAACATCAACACTCATTTAGAGGGTTAAGAAACCTTACCAAACGTAGGCTACAGCACAATTATATCTTAAATTGTTTAATTTCTATTTTTTACAAGAATGTCATTGTCAAAGAAGATTTCAATTTTTGGAAATCAGAATGGCATGTGGATGTCCCATGGAACCTCAAGCTCAGCTGGGGGTTGGATTTTATTTCATTGCTTTAAGGGTACATTTCTGTTTTCAGACTGTGATCCAAATGGTCGGTATGTTTGTCTTTTACTTGAATTTTAGACATGATGTTTGTTGTTATCAATCTTTATGGGGGTGGGGCGGGGATTATTGACAATACTAATATTGATAGATGGCCCCCAAAATCAAGTAATTCTAACTCTAAACACTGCATATACTATATATATATATTTGATTCACACATTTTAAATGTAAAAGTCAGTTTGGTGATGCTATAGTACTGTCCCAGGGACCACTGCTGGCTTCACGACAAATGTGTGTGTCGGACCAAGTGGCTCTCTCTTTATCCCATAGATGATGCACAGAAACATGGGAACCCTGGCATTCCTGGCCAGATGATGGGATGGAAAACAGCCTGCATGGTAGGCTCATGGTGATGAGAGCTATTAGCGTACTAGCGCCTGCCTAAAGCCTTTGTGAAGCTTTAGTGAAAAGCTCTGCGAGGATTTAACATTGAGTGACCTTTCAGTTAACAGCTAAATGAGTCAACAATTGGCATGAAAATTACAGCCTTAGATACAGTAATAAAATAGAACAAAAGTCACTTTTATCGAATATGATTTTACAGCTTTATTTAAGCATAAAGTAGAAGTGTTCAAAAGCATGGTTTTAGCTTGTAAACAATTAAATTGCTTACAACAATTTAATGCTATATTATCCGAACTAAATGAAACAGTTGTGGTATATAAACATGTTTATTATTATTATTTTATATATATATATATATATATATATATAAATGCAAGGCAAATTTAATAAAACATCAGCTGATAACTCTTAAAAATGAATCTTTAAAAATTGCAATAATAATTATTATTTACACTTATTTCATAAAAGTTACTGAATAGCAGGTTAGGTTAACTTTCTGGCTGTCTAAAGAGGACAGGAACAGATGAACGGTTTGGGTCTTATGCATTGTGCATCATTGAACGTCAGATTATCTGAAAATAGACAAAGCTTTGTTAAACTGGTAAAGACAGATCAGGAAAAAGAGGAAAGCGGTGAAAGAGTTAAAGGATTATATATTATTCCTTAAGATTATATGATGAATGCAACTATTCAGTAGCAACACTTACACCACGTCTCTACACAGTTCTCCTGCCCACCAGCATTATTGGGTTCTCCAACAGCCCAGCCATTATAACTCCACGGCGTTCCATCCAACCATATGAAATACGTGTCTGTCAAAAGAGTAAAGTGACTTACTAGAGGGACAGATATGGTGGTGAAATGAATAAACCATGCAAAAAAGTGAAACACTGCAAAACAAATGAACATACTAAAGAATCTCCATCCTCCAAGCCATGCGCGAATGCGGCCGCCACATGCACGTCACACCTGCTTGATAAAGGCAACTGTTCACAATGACCCTAAACGTTGCATTATTTAGTGCTTTTGGCCAAGTATGCTAGTATCAGACCTGTTTGCTATTTGTACACAGTGGCAAAACTAATATCATCTGAGGTGGTTTACCAATCTGTGTCCTTCGACTTTCCCTCCCAGGTTCCATTTGTATTTTTGGACCTTCACCCGTTATATAGTCAGCCTCAAGTGTAGGCTCCTCCTTTACTACATTTTCTTCTTTGTCATCTTCCACTTCTGTATTAGTTTCAGACTCTAACTCTGATACAGCTTCCTCCACAGGTACAATGTTTCTGTCTGTCTAAATGGCAGTTATTTCTCAGGCTCTAGTTCTGTCTCTGGCGTCTCTTCAGTCAGGTAATCTGCCTCTAGCACAGGTTTCTCCAACATCACTTGTGTCTCTTCTGGTACTCTTTGTTCCTCTGTTGTTTCTGGCTCCAGCAGCACTGAATCAGGCTCCACCAGACGTGAATCTGCAATAGCTTCACCCTGCACCAGAGGGTCTGCTTCTGCTTCTGTGTGCTCTACTGTCGGTTCTTTTTCAACCACTGGCACCTTCACCACCGGATCAGGAAGCTTCTCATCCTGAACTGGAGGACTGGCAAAAGCTACAGAAGTTAATGATCAGAAAGTAATAACGTTAATCAATCTAGAGATTAAATGTAATTATTTACCACTTTTAAGATTTTATTTAACATTTAGCTTGTTAGATAATCTAAGATTACACCAATAATGATTACTTCAATAAAGTAGAAGCTATTTTGTTAAAGATGCATGATTAAAAATATGTAATTCAAAGTATACCCTCCAAGTTAAAAAAAAATAAGGTTGCACTTTTGTACTATTCCACTCTTAACAGACCGGAATTTTACATAAATAAGCAAGTAAAAAATAAAAACACATAACAGTGTTTGCAGAAAGCTGCATTAAATGCACAAACAAATTATAGAAGATAGGACACAATGTTAAATGTTAAACTAACACAATTAATATTAACTGTATGTTTAAACGTGTAGCATCTGGACCACTCAAACACACAATATATATTTTGTTAGTTAGATTTAACAAATACTCTGTAACACCCCAGGAAGCCAAACAGGCCCCTGGTTCCATGGTAACCCTGACACCCGATACATTTACGACCTCCTGGAATTTAGGTGAAGAAAATTGCTTCCTTGCCCATAAGGAAAATCCACAAGGGAAGAACTTTTCTTTGCTAATTAATTAATAGGAAAACCTTTCTTTGAATGAACACACATGATCCTTCAGGTCATTGGGTATATTATTGTCATCGTGTATTTTGTCTTTGAAATTGTATACTGTTATGCAGGCTTATAATCGAAACACACTCCTGTCAGCTTACATATATATAACGCTACCATGTTTAGTATCTATGAATATATAACTAGACCACAGATCATACCTGCTATGGTGAGAAACAGCAAGAGCAATTTTCTCATCTTGTCAAAAATCTCCAAAGAATTACTGTCTGCAAGGAGATGATTTGATAATAAAATCAACATCAATCAATTATGTTAATTTTCACTTAATGACGTTTTTATTGGCTGTGATTCATAAAAGCCCTCTTCATTTAAGAGGGAACTGGACTACTCTGAAAGAAAATGTTATTTATATTTACTTAAAGTTCGTTAAGTTAAAATATCAATTAACATCACTGAATCAACCAAAAATACATTAGGTTACACCATATATAACTAGACCACAGATCATACCTGCTATGGTGAGAAACAGCAAGAGCAATTTTCTCATCTTGTCAAAAATCTCCAAAGAATTACTGTCTGCAAGGAGATGATTTGATAATAAAATCAACATCAATCAATTATGTTAATTTTCACTTAATGACGTTTTTATTGGCTGTGATTCATAAAAGCCCTCTTCATTTAAGAGGGAACTGGACTACTCTGAATGAAAATGTTATTTATATTTACTTAAAGTTCGTTAAGTTAAAAATATTATTTAACATCACTGAATCAAGCAAAATACATTAGGTTACACCAATTTAAGGGTTGAACTGCAGATTATCACCCTTTATTTTAAAGCATCTAACAAAATTACTGCTAGTGTAAGAAAGAAAGACAAAAGGAATGTTAGAAATATGAACAGTAGATGGTTATTCTCACCAGTGTTGATCTTGTTGGTATTGACTCTTCACCTGCGTTTCTCTCAGTGCTGTGAGATCCATTTAAAATGGATTTTCTGAGAGCACATGCTTCACACTTTAAGACCTCATAATATTTTATTCTTTTTTGCTTCTCGTGTAAACATATGCTTTTAAGTTCAGAGTGCCAAATCACTTCAGTCTGAGATATACAAAAGTTTGGGAGTTTGGATGTATTTTTTTTTTCTAAATGTTATTTGTAAGGTTGCTTTGTATTTATTAGTTCTATAGTTTGAGAAACAATCTTTGAATTGGATTGACATTCTGAGACAAGAAAGATACACTTTTCACATACTGCCTTTGACCTGATGTTACATTTAGCCTATATTATGTATATTGTGCTAGGGTGACCATACCTCTTCTTTTTCCTGGACGG